TTATCTCCAAGTAGCATCCAACTCAGTTGCGTGCGTGTACGAAACTATATTGTTTACGATGATGCTGTACCGGTGCACACGGTATACAGTGCCTTGGAGTAACTTTGACAAGGGTTCGCTTTTAAGTCGCGTTCAACCGCTGATGCTCGTGTTGATTAAACACGGTACAATGTACTTCTTCCTGTGAGTAATAACCACCTACCAGTCTCACCAATGTATGGGGAACCTAAAGTAATGAAAAGCGCTGTGCTTGGTTGGGCAGTGCAGGCGCTATACTTTTTGCCGGAATCAGGCTTATACAATTCGGTGCGTTAGCAGCTTAGCAGCTTCTTCGTTACCATATGATGACCTAACAATGATTACACCGCAGCCAGTCTCAGTTCCAACGCCACTTTATATGGTAGCAACGACCGTTGTATACTGTATGATCGGTCCGATCATGTTTATCGACATTCGACGCTATAATGCTCGACAAACACAAGGCGGTACCACACTTGACGGCGCTCAGTTGAATACTATACAGTTTGTCACGTCTGGATCTCGCATGAGAGACGATTGACAGTTGTTGATGATACATGTTTATCTTGTGTTTGCGTTAGCTTAGCCTTCTTTCTCGTGCTTGCTTCAGTCACCGATGGTTTCCAAACTTTGTCAACTGCCACTTCAGATCTACTAGGTACTTATTGGCGACTACGAGTGTGTTGCCCAGGCAAATTTCACAGATGAGGGACGGAGTCATTGGACCATAGATTTGGCACGGGAACAAAGCTTGGAGTCCTCATGCAGACAACAAAACGTCGGAAGTGGGAACGCCCGTGTGAACCAAAAATGCCGTGGATTTTTTACTTATGACAATAGAGCCTGCATATCGGCCTCGACGAACGTGAACCAGGCGACCAGCGCTGTCTCGTGTATCCTCTCCAAAGAGGATATCAAAACGCCGGTTGAATTGTTCCCAAGCAGTTCCGCCGTGTACGTTGGATAAGACATTGAAGATGCGGTCATCTTTGCTTGCAATCGGGACGTGTGCAGGAAGTGTTCGAGTGTACTCATGGATGCTGGCGACCGTGTTCTCGCGAATGGTGAGCTCGTCTTCGTTGCTGGATGCTGCCATGCTCAGCGCTCAGCACTGGACCAATGGATGGCTAACAGACTTTTTCGTAATTTCCTACCGCACCTCGGCCAGATTGCGTGGCTGTGCCACACGTGAGGTGATACACCAGACGAGGCGCTGGCGCAAATTCTGGCTTTGTGGGTTCTTTGTCGCTCTCGCCCCCCGGTTTTGCTCCATACAAGTACTAGCTTACGTCTTATACAGAATAATATACTGTATATACACTGTACACAACAGTTTACACCCCCCTCTATACTTACATGGTATATACATAGGGTAGTAAACGTATATATACAGTATATATACTATATGGTTGGAGCCTTACCACTGGCACTCCAAACACTGGGTAGTATAATATTGACATTTTCGTAAGTGTCTCTCTGGTGCGACCCTCGGTTCTTCAAAAATTTCTTCAGGGACTGGGGGCATGGATAAGGTCGTCTCCTATCTCCGAACAGTCATTGACGACAAGACAATGGCATTGTTCCACGCACCTATCATGGTCAAGCTGGAACGAGTCGAAAAGGAGCTGAAGTACATCTGGTAAGCTCATTGTGATGTATAACTACCTCACGTACTCATCGGTTATGAAGTGAACACAACACTAGTGTTTCTGTACCAACAGACTCAGATCTAGGGCCCGCAGCCAACGCTCAGCCAGCAAACATGTCACCGTCAGCTGAACCTGTAGTGGATGTAGTCCCAGAACCTGATAGCGCACCGGAGCAGGAGAGAATCAATGCGCTTCGAAGGATTGGAGGTGGAAACTTAGCGAACGAGTTATTTGGCCGTGAAGGTGCGTCGTAGTGTCTTCGAACCAGGGTGTTTGGCCTTACGATAGCATTCAGAGGTGTTGCTTCCTGGCGACTCAAGGAAAGATAAGACGTACCGACCATTGAACAAGGGGTTGGACAGCGAGGACGACTCGGATGCCAATGCATCTGTTCACCTTGATGAGGATGGCATCGAAATCATCTCACCCTGCACGAAAAACGTGAGTAGTTACTCTGCCACTGGTGGGCTTGCACTTACATTAGTTATTGAAACAGCATCACAAAGGCAAGAAGCGGCCTGCCCAGTCTGATTCGGACGATGGCTCGCAGTCAGATGGCAGTGTGCACTCTGTCACGTCGAGCATCGCATCTATTATTGGTGCTGTTCTACAGAAAAGCTCAAAGGTGAAGGCATCTGTGAAAAGGCTTAAACAGGGTGTCCGAAAGATTGCACGCATACGAAGAGGGAAGGATAATATACGTACCGAGAAGAACACTGCAGTACGTGCATCAGTGGTGGAGATATAGTTTGTGGGCTGACTGTAGCTTTTCTTGAAGAAGAAACGCACGAAGACCACTCATGCTGACGATTTGGAGGCGGCCGCACTTGAGATTGATGATGGCGAGGTATCTGATGGACGTTCAGCACTGCGCGATGTTGAGAAGGAAGAGGCTGATGCCCGACCTGATGGATCTCGTGGCCCAAGGAACGAGTCGTTGGCCTTCTTCTCGGCGCCGAGGGCAGTGGCGATCAAGGGCGCGATGAAGTGGGAGTTTATTTGCAAACTATGCAATGCGTGAGTCAAGCCAGATATCATAAAGGCGATAAACTCACATGGATGCCTGTACCTAGTGTCCGCCGAGTTGAACGTCACACAGAGTCCAAGGACTATGCAGACAAGAGCGTTCGCGCACCACTGAACAATTTGGCTGGACATCTCAGCAATAAGCACAGTCGCCAGGTCAGAGAGGAGAAGGAGAAGATGAAGGAGGAAGGGAAGAACAGCGGCAGTGGGAGCGTGGAGGTAGTGCGCGAGAACGACCCGCTCCTTGAGCGTCAACGTGCGCTTATGTCCAAAATGCTTGATGAGGGTCGCCTCAAACCCACGCACAACCCGAGCCAACAGGGATTCAATCGACACTTCGCTGCATGGATCCTTGAGAGTGATCTTCCATTTACAACTGGAGAGGTACCATCCCTCGCCTCCCTCTTCAAATACATGAAGAGCCAGTTTCAGCTTCCAACCGACACCACTGTTCGCGACACAGTTGGTCGCATCTACATCTTACTCCGGAATGCCATCGTCAAGGAGCTTGCGGTGCGTCAGCAAATTTATTAATCATTTTATTCCTAATTATTTTCCAGGACGTCAAGAGCAAGATTGCTTACAGTACGGACTCCTGGACTACGCAGCAAATGATATTCACATTTGCCGGTACTCTGGCAAACTGGATTGACGATGACTGGAACCTGGTTTCACGGGTCATTGACTTTCGCCACCTTGGTGCTGATGAGCACACTGGCATAGGCACGGCGAACGCGTTCTGGGACGCTTCTCAGAAAATGGG